TTTTTTAAGGGGTCAAGGTCTTGGTATCTAGCCTAGATTGGTCACCACTATCCTGTTTCAGTCTTCTGAGTGCTGGGGAAATAGTAGATATGTGCCACCATGCCTGGCAACTGAAAGAACTCAGTGCCATCAGTCATTTAAAAATGTAAATAATGTCAAATTCTTTGGGGGGGGGCAAAAAGAACAAGTGTTCATGAACTGTGAGCTAGTAAAGGTAGAGCAGCATGAAAGATGGAAGGAGCTGGGTGTGGCGGCACAGGTGGCACACACCTTTGATCCCAGCACTCCGGAGGCAGAGACAGGAGGATCTGTGTGAGTTCAAGGTCAGCCTGGTCTACATAGTGAGTTCCACGCCAGCTGGGGCTGTCTCAAAAAGATTTAAAAAAAAAAAAAAAGATGAAAGGAAATGCCTAGAATATTACTCTTATTTTATTTGCTAATCAACAAATGAATCGAGACCTTTTGCAAGCTTTATTGGTTGCCTTTGAAAACACGGCCCATGAAGAGATATTCCACAAGCTAAAGGAATTAAAATTTTAATGCACAGACAGAAATCTGGGAATGTTGGTGAAGGTACTAAGTGTGAAATAATGATGCAAAGAACGTGACGCTGCAATTCAGTCACATGTATTGGCACGGGCTCAACTAAGTAGGGACTCTGTATATGACACTGCAGGTTTGAAGTCAGGAACAGATGTGCAGTTTTTTGTAAATCAAATATGAACTGAAAGATGATCCACAGTGAGCAACTGGAAATGCTACACCTGCCTTGGTCCATGAAGAGGAAGAAACAGAAGGGTTCATGGTTGGAATGTTATAGCAGATCTTTCACTTAACAACTACACACACCAGGAAGGTAGAGATTTATCTTTCACCTATAATATGACAAATACGTGTGTTGTTAAGGTTTTCATTCCTGTGACAAATATTTGACAAAATCAACTAAAACGGAAGGAAAGACTCATTTTGGCTCAAGGTTCTGGTCCATTTTTGCCTGGCCCATTCCTTTGGGCTTATAACCAAAGTATGGAGTATGTGGCAGAACAGACATGCTCAATTGATGGTGTCCAGGATGGGGTCCCAGAATCCTCTTCAACAGCAAGCCCCTAAGGGCCGGGGGCGGGTAGCCCATAGTAATCCTTTCCTAGCATGCTAAAGGCCCTGGGTTCAATACCCAGCATCACAAACACAACAATAAAATCTCCCATGGCATGCCCCCAGCCTCCTCATTTCTTTCCATTAGGCCAACTTTCAAAAGTTTTCACCTCCTCTCCCCGTAATTGAACCACAAACTGCAATATACAGTTTTGGAGACACATGCCAAATCACAACAGTACCCCACTATCCTTCAGAGCTGCATTACCAATCTTCCCTGGAGGCCAGAGTTCATACTACAACTCTGGCTGGAGCCACCGAACCTGGAAACTTAAATGCAATTCCTAGTAGGCCCGGGGCTTCCTGAACCCATCCTTTGGTTATCCCAGTTCTCAAATGCATAATGGGAATAGATATCCTCAGTAGCTGGCAGAATCCCCATACTGACGAATGAGAGTGAAGACCACTATGGTGGAAATGGCCAAGTAGAAGCTACTAGGACTGTGACCTAGAGAAATAGTAAACTAAGAGCAGTACAGATGCTCTTCAAATTTTTTTTTTTTTTTTGGTCTTTTTGAGGCAGGGTCTTTCTGTAGCTCCAGCTGGCCTGGAACTTGATTGGTAGACCAGGCTGGCCTTGAACTTACAGAGAGCCACCTGCCTTTGCCTCCCGAATGCTGGGATTGAGGCCTATACCACTACGCCTGGCAATGCTTTCTCTTTTTAAAAAAATATTATTTTTATGTGTATGAGTGTATTGCTTACATGTGTATAAATGCACCTGGGTCATGCAATGCCTACAGAGTCAGAAGATGGCATTGGAACTGGATTCCCCTGGAACTGGAGTTATTGGTGATAGTTAGCTGCCATATAAGTGCTGGGACCTGAACCAGGCCCCTGCAAGAGCAGCTGGTGCTCTTAACTAACAGAAACTCAAAGGCCTGTTAACTAGATAGTTTCTAGGGGTCTGGTGGTATATGGAATGCTGAGCTGCCCTTCTAAGGCACAGGCTAAGAGACTGTATCAGTCCCATCAGTCCCTTCCTCAAACCAAGATAACAGTGCAATGATTAGTAGGCTGCTTTGGAAGCAATATTTTCTTCATAGGGTGTTACTGTGGCATATAACAAATGATGGGAAAAACTAATAGTTTTGAGAAAAGCACTGAACAGGTGAAAGCTTTGCAACAGGTCCAAATATGGTATAGGCTGCTTTGCTGTTCAGGCTACACAGATATGGCAGATCCAAAGGGGCTTGAAATATTTGTGGTGAACAGGAATGCTATTTGTTGACTTTAGTAGGTGTCTACATGTGAATTACAGTGTAGGTCCTTAGAACTTTGGAGCAAAACCCTGCTTCCTTTGCAGATAATTATACTTCTTTTGCAAAACAGCTCTTGACCAGCCTGTAGTCCTGAATGGAAACTCAATATCTGACAATGGCCTGAAGGATGGTGCGGGGAGGGGGAGGAGGTTGGTATGTGTATATAATCTGGCTATACAGAAAAGCAGAGGCAGCTAATCCTGAACTGGGTGCTTTCTGATTCACTATAGCATGTGTCTGGATGTGGACAGCAGCACTCTGTCACGAAATGAAAATGATAGGGGCCAAGTAAGTCACGGAGGCACAAGTAAGTTATACAAAGAAGTACTTATGCCGGGCATGGTGGTGCACGCCTGTAGTCCCAGCACTTGGGAGGCAGAGGCAGGCGGATCTCTGTGAGTTCAAGGCCAGCCTGGTCTACATAGCGAGTTCCAGGACAGCTGGGGATACAGGGAGACCCTGTCTCAAAGAAAGAAGTACTCACATGCCACACGGAATGAAGAGTTGTCCCTTTCTGGAATATCTATGTAGGGCAGTGGAGAAAGGAAATCTTCCCGGCAGGCAGAACTTCAAGCATTGTACATGGCTGTCCACTTAGTGAGAAGCAATACTGGCCTATTTGACTTGATTGGATAATTTTTTAAAAAATTTCTGAATCAACTATATGCTAAGATTTAACAAAATAATTTATGAAAAGCTTTTCTAGCTGTGATTGTCCCTGCTGGTCCATCAACATTACAAAAAAGGTGGCTTATAACAATACACCAACTGTGAAAATCAAACATATTAGAAGGAAAATTACCACTATTTAAAAAGTATCATTTGCAGGGCTGGAGATAGAGGTGGGGTGGTTAAAGCACTTACTGCACAATCATGAGGACTGGCATCTGGCACATGCCTGAAACTCCAGGGTGGAGAAGGTAGAGATTAAAGGATTACTAGGACTTGCTGGCTTCTAGCCCAGCCAAGAAAATGGATTCAGCCCCAGATTCCAAAAGAAAAGAGGACCATACCCATGTCCTCTTCTGAACATGGACACACACACATACACACACACCCCAAACAACTTTAATTAAAAAAAAAAAGTGATATCACTTATGATTCTGGGGATGAGTCATTAGGGAGGGCAGACACAATTAAATAAACATACCTTAAACAGAAGCAATACAGTAACTTCATTATATGATGGGTATATGAGTTCCCGAATGACTTTATTTTATAATACACACAGGTCAGAAGACATGCAAACAACAAATTCTCTAAAGATGTTATATGTAGTTTTTCAGATTTCCAAGTTTATCTAAAAATTAACAGAATAATCTTTAAAAAATGTGGATTTATAGGCCCAAACCAGGTTTTAATTTAGAACTGCAGACTACCTAGGAATTTGTAAGTTATTAAGTAACTGGATGACTTTGGTAAAAGACAACATTACTACAGAATTAAGAATGCCCTTATTTCTGTTCAAAGTGGACAAGCAGATGACAGGCAGAAGAATGTGCATTACCAATGTGGGCCAAGAACAAGTCAACGTGCTTTAGTCTTTCCAATACTTTTTGTTGCTGTAGTTTGTTTTTTTGAGACAGGGTCTCCCTGTAGCCCCAGCTGGCCTAGAATTTACTATGTAGACCAGGCAGGCCTCATTCTCACAGAGATCCACCTGCCTCTGCCTCCTGAGCGCTGTAATTAAAGGGGTGTTTCACCACACCTGGCTGTCTTTCCAGCCTTTATCAGAAATAGAAAGACCTCTAGAATAAAACTTTAA